TTAATGGTTTGAAATATGGGATTATATGTTTTTTATTTATGCAAAAAAAATTAATTGAGAGTTTATGGTTTGAAATATGGGATTATATGTTTTTTATTTATGCAAAAAAAATTAATTGAGAGTTTATAATATAAACCGATAAAGTATTGAAATATTAAAGCGAATTTAATTCAATATTAAAAGTTAATAAGCATACTGGTTGGGATTGTCCATAAAAATGATATTGATATGCTTTAGAGATATTAAAGTGGATTGGTTTAATTTTATTTTATTTAAAAAAAAAAAACGTCCTTAAATTGATTTGTTCAAAAAATTTTGAAAATTTTAAAACGACAATTGAAGATTTGGCATACTGACAAAAATTTCAAATTTTCAAAAATTTCAAGCAATTCAAATAGGCGGTATAGTTGCGAAAATTTTCAAACAATTTACTATATTTAGTAATATATTTAGGCGGGATTTTAGATGATTTTTTAGTTACTATTATTGGATTTTTTAGGTTACCTCTTTATATAGTAATAGATTATGTTGTATCTAAATTGAGAGACATTTCACTCTACCTAACTCCAATTTAAGTGCTCTCTTTGCTTGTAGCGCCCCACTTATTTATTGTGATTTTTTTATTTTTTTTTAATTTGATTTTTTTTTTCCACACTGAATTTATGAGCTTTTATTTTACATAAAAATTGGTTGTTGCACCTGTAAGTCAATTGAATCACATGTATCTATAAAATCTCTTTACTGAAAAAGCTTGAAATCTCAAACAAAGCTCTTGATTCTCAGAGAAGACAACACAAAGTGTTTGTTTATATTTGTTCATTCATTTGGTGTCTCTGTGTTGCCGCTAGTACCAGCAAAGGTTCATGTATCTAGATTTTACCTTGTTAAACGAAACGAGTCACTCGTGAGCTCAACTCGGCTCGGCTCGTTAAGGCTAGACTCATTTGATATAAATGAGTCGAACTCGAGTTTGTTGGAAGCTCTCGTTTAGTAAATAAGCTAAGGCTAAAAAAATAGAATTTTTGTCCTGAGTTTGAGCTAGTTGAAAGCTCATTTATTTAATTAGCCAAGACTCAAAAATAAGATTTTTTTTGTATATTTTTCTAAAATTCGGCTTGCTAAGGCTCGAGTTCCACTCGTTAATATGGATATACGAGTCGAGCCCAACTCGAGTAGTGGCTCGAGCTTAAGCTCAAGTACCATGAGCTCGACTTGGCTCTGCCCGTGAACACCCATTATACAGAAAACAGTTTTGTGGGCAAATTATTCGACTCTATTTGTGACGGTAAAGAACCCGTGAGGCGCAATGCGAATTTTCGCAATTTTGTTAATTAATGGTACTTATTCGGGAAAAATTTAGACCACCTTGCATTTGATATGTGAAAGTAGTATACAAAAAA